TCATTAGGACTAACATTTTATCCAGATTGTCATAAATACATTCGATTTCACTTTTGAGGCCATCTGAGGTCGCAGGGAGACTAAATAAGGTATAACTGGTGACAACTACAGTCTTCATCATCAAACATTGGTGAGAACATTATGAAAATCAATTTCAAACATACTACAACTGCCCAAACATGTTCAGTTTGCATAACAGCTATTCATCACCTTGCTCAATTTCAGAATGTCAGAAGTTTATAGAATGTTCAGTCATCTCCAAACAAACTTTTTCCTTCCACTGATTTCAATTATTGTCACTACTAATTTCAAGACTTCTAAAAGATTCTAGAGATCTCTCCATATTACTTGAATGTAGCAAATCAGGATATATAAGGTCTGTATTCAATTTGGTTCTTCAGATTCGTCGATATTAAAGTCAAAGATCTCTCCATACTACTTGAATGTAGCAATTCAAGCTACTGATTTCAATACTTCTAGAAGATTCTATAGATATATCCATACTACTTGAGTGTAGCAATTCAAGCTATATAAGGCCTATATTAGATTTTCGGTTTCAGATTCGATATTAAACTTCCAGCAGTGATTGTTCAATAAGTTCCATTGCTGTACACCAGTATTATACGAAACTCCACCTCGAGATGGGACCAAAGAAACGAAAAAATATTGGCGGAAGCTCTTCAAAAGCTCACAAAATTCGAGGGATCAAAAGACAGCTGAGTAACATCAATCTCGCAAGGAGCAGGCTGCAGGAAACAGAAAAGCAACATTAGCCCCGCCTCAGTGCTGATGCCACCAAACATGCAAGGGGCAGGTTACAGTCTGGTGAAGATCAGAACTTCAGTTCTCAGGCCTCAAGACAAGCAAGGAGCAGGCTGCAGGAAACAGAAGAGCAGCATCAGACCCGCCTCACTGCTGATGCCACCAGGCATTCACAAACCAGAGAACAAGAGTCTGCTGAGGAAGAACAAGCAAGACTCCAAGCAATGCACACAAGAACTGCCAGGCAAAGGGCATCACTATTTACTCTAGCCAATATGCTAAATGCTGCATTCAATTACTCAGCTAACATTGACTATTCTTCTATAAATGCAGTCAAAATTGTTTCCATGTCAGAACTATGCCAACATTGTGGAGCAAAGAAGTGGAAACGTGAAACACCATCAATGTGTTGTTTCAATGGTAACGTTAACTTACCTCTACTAGCCAAGCCACCAGAACCATTGAAAATGCTGCTCCTATGTGACACACTAGATTCAAAACATTTCCTAAAGATGACCAGAGCCTACAACTCAGCATTTCAAATGACATCTTTTGGAGCCAACATTGTACTCGAAGGGGAATTTATGCCAACATTTAAAGTACAGGGACAAATCTACCATCGCATTGGATCACTCCATCCTCATGCAGACAAACATCTACAGTTTATACAACTCTATTTTGTGGGAAATATGCAAAAACAAGCAGAATATCGTTGCAACTACATGAAGGATACCAGACTTTATATCATACTGCAACTCCAGGAGATGATCCATATCACTAACAATTACGTACAAAGCTTTAAATATTCACTTGAAGATGCTCCTACTTTGGACTACCAAATAGTGGTCAATGCTGATAAACGACCAAAATGAGAACATTGTGGTCAACTTAGTGAGCCAACTTGCAATGAGGTTGCTTGGTCATGAATGGCCAGAAACATGGAAAAGAGACATTGTCTTAAAACTTCGAGATAACACTATAAAGATGATAAATGAGACATATAGATATTATGATGTCCTTCAGTATCCACTTATCTGTGTGCATGGAGAAGATGGATACCACTTTCTAATTCCACAAGCTCAAGGAACAAAAACTGTGTCATGCATGGATTTCTATGCCTACAACTTCATGATTCGAAATACTTACTTCAACCATTTGCATCGTTGTCAAGATCTGTTCCAACAGTATGCTGTTG